CCCCGCCGCCCCCCCGCCCTTCACAGCCAGGGTGGGAGTGTGGTGATAACCCGCGGCCCCGTTTCCTCCCGGCCAGGAAGGAGCCAGGCACAGGAAGTATTCGGCGGAGTCACATAAGCACTCCCGCTGCCGGGCGCGGGCAGGGACCGGGGAGATGGGTCTGGCCACGGAGCACGGCAGCGCCTACGCCCGGGCCGGGGGCAGCGCGCGGGGCTGCTGGTACTACCTGCGCTACTTCTTCCTCTTCGCCTCGCTCACCCAGTTCCTCGTCATCCTGGGCCTGGTCCTGTTCATGGTCTACGGCAACGTGCACGTGGCCACCGAGTCCAACCTGCAGGCCACCGAGCGCCGGGCCGAGGGCCTGTACGGCCAGGTGGTGGGGCTCACGGCCGCCCAGGCCAACCTGACCAAGGAGCTCAACCTCACGGCCCGCGCCAAGGACGCCATCATGCAGATGCTGCTCGGTGCCCGGCGAGACCTGGACCGCATCAACGCCAGTTTCCGCCAGTGCCAGGCCGACCGGGTAAGGCCGCGTCTGCCGCCGGGGCCGGGCGGGTGCGTCGCTCTCTGGGTCTTGCTTTCCTCGTCTGGGAGACGCGGCAGTCACAGACCCAACACTCTGCATGAGAAGCCGCGCAGATTCTTACCTTATTTCATTTTCAGAGATGGGGTCTGGCTCTACGACCCAGGCTGGAGTGCAGTGGCGTGATCAGAGCTCACTGCAGCCTCGACCCACGGGGCTCCAGCGATCCTCCCGCCTCAGGCTCGCGAGGAGCTGAGACTACAGGCACTACCGTATCTGGCTAATTTTTAAATTTTTTGGAGAGATGGGGTCTTGCTGTGTTGCCCAGGCTGGTCTTGAATTCCTGGGCTCAACCGCATTCGCCTCTCAAAGTGCTGGGACTATAGGTGTAAGCCACCGAGTCCAGCTTCATTTTTTTTTTTTTTTTTGCAGTATATCCCAAGCAATATTTGGAATATGCTTTTTTTTTAAGTTGGAGTCTCAGTCCATCACCCAGGCTGGAGTGCAGGGGCACGCTCATGGCCACCGCAGCCTCGACCTGCTGGGCTCAGACGATCCTTCTGCCTCAGCCTTCCAAGTAGCTGGAACCACAGGCGTATGCCACCTTGCCTGGCTAATTTTTTGATTGATTGTAGAGATGAGGTCTCGCTATGTTGCTCAGGCTGGTCTTGAACCCGTGCGCTCAGGCAATTCTCTTGCCTCTGCCTCCCAAAGTGCTAGAATGACAGGCATGAGCCACCATGCCCAGCCAATATTTTTTTTAACTAAAAAAAATGACTCATTGTTTCCTTGGAATTCAAGTTTAACTGGCATGCTGAAGTTAATGGGCAGCTTTGAGCCCACGACTCTGTGGGCATAAAGTGCCCAGAATGTTCCAGCACACACTCACTATGCCTAAGAACAGACTGAATAAAAGCTCAGAGTGGGCCAAGCACGGTGGCTTACGCCTGTAATCCTAGTACTTTGGGAGGCTGAGGCGAGAGGATGACCTGAGGTGAGGTGTTCCAGACCAGCCTGGGTAACATAGCAAGACCCCATCTCTATTTTACATTTTAAAAGGTGAGGGGAAGCCGGGCTCGGTGGCTCAGCCTGTAATCCCACGCTTTGGGAGGCTGAGGTGAGTGGATTGCCTGAGCCTGCGGGTTTGAGACCCGCCTGGGCAGCGAGACCTCATCTCTACAATAAATAAAAAGATCAGCCGGGCATGGTAGCACGTGCCTGTAATTCCAGCTACTCGGAAGGCTGAGGCAGAAGGATTGCCAGAGCCCAGCAGGTCGAGGCTGCAGTGGCCATGAGCGTGCCACTGCACTCCAGCCTGGGCGACAGAGTGAGACTCCGGTTCAAAAAAATAAATAAATAAAATAAAATAAAAAGGGGGGGGGAAGAAAAGCTCAGAGTGTGTTGTTCTTCCTCAGGCACAATGTGTCTGAGCTGCTCATGGTCGCCCTGCGCCAGGGTTGGATCTGGAAATAATTCTCATCGCTGATCTGGGGGCGAGGGAAGGGGCGTTCTCAGCCCTTTGGCAGCTGGGGAGACGGAGGGCCAAGCGGGGACGTGGCTTTCCCAGGGTGGAAGCGGCAGGGCTCTCCGGGACGGCAGCGAGTGCAAACGTGGGGCCGCGTGGAGACCGCTGTCCCTCCCAGCCCCATGGGTGTCCAGCGTCCTCGACGGCCGCCCCGTGTCCTCCCACGCTCCCTTCCTGGGGACCTGCTGCCCCTGAGATCCCGAGGGGAGCGGGCCTGGGGCCCCCCAGGAGGCCAGGGGTGAGGGGAGGCAGGGGCTGCTCGCGGCGTCCTCAGGCGGCATCCTGGCTGGCAGCGCGGGCGTGGGAAGGAAGGGCGTCGGATGGGGCCTCAGACCCCTCGGCTCTGCCCAGCCAGCAGGAAGACATGCGCGGGCTGCAGATCTGCCCAGGGCAGGGCGGTGTCTCCCTGCTCAGATTCCCAGGGCAGGGCCTCAGGGTGGGGCTGTGCCTCCCCCCAGAGTCCCCACCCCCCCAGTCTAGGACAGTTTCTGAGACGTGTTCGTCCTGGGGACTTGGCCCACTGACTCTCCCAGGACACGCACAGCCACCTGCCCAGGAGCATAGCGTTTTGTTTTGTTTTTGGGTTTTTTTTGAGTTGGAGTCTCACTCTGTCACCCAGACTGGAGTGCAGGGGCCGCTCCCGGCCACCGCAGCCTCGACCCGCTGGGCTCCAGCGATCCTTCCGCCTCAGCCTTCCGAGTAGCCGAATTACAGGCACGCGCTACCACGCCCGGCTGATTTTTTGATTTATTGTAGAGATGAGGTCTCACTCTGTGGCCTAGGCTGGTCTCAAATTCCTAGCCTCAAGCAATCCTCCCACCTCGACCTCCCAAAGTGCTGGGATTACTGGTGTGAGCCACCCTGCCCAGCCAGGGTTTTTAGAATATATTCTCCACACTACTTCTTTACCAGATGTCTGATTTGCACTCATTTCCTCTCATTTCCGGGGTTGCTTTTTCCCTTTTTTCATGGTGTCCTTTGAAGCACAACGTTTTTTCATATCGATGAAGGCCGAAGTAACTATTTTTTTGCTGTGCTGCTTGTGCTTTCTGTATCCTGAGAAACCATTGCCAAACCCAAGGTAGCAAAGACTCACCATCAAACCCAAGGTCACAAAGGCCTTCTGTGCCGTCTTCTAAGGCGTTCTGCCACTCCATCTCTTCTGTGAATTCAGATCTGCATGTGGTGTAGGAAGGGGTCGACATTCATTTCTCGGCATGAGGATGTCCAGTTGTTCCAGCACCATTTGTTAAAAAGACTATTCTTGGTGAGTGCGGTGGCTCACACCTGTAGTCCCAGCTATTCAGAAGGCTGAGACGGGAGGATTGCTTGAACTCAGGAGCTGGAGACCACTGTACCATGTATTGAGACCTTTCCCAATTTTTGATAAAAGACTCTTTGGCCAGGCGCAGTGGCTCACGCCTATAATCCCAGCACTTTGGGAGGCCAAGGTGAGAGGATCGCCTGAGCCCACGGGTTCGAGACCGGCCCGGGCAACTTGGCAAGACCTCATTTCTACAATAAACCAAGAAATTAGCCGGGCCTGGTGGCACATGCTTGTAGTTCCAGCTACTTGGAAGGCTGAGGTGAAAGGATCGCCGGAGTCCAGCAGGCGAGGCTGCGGTGGCCGTGAGCGTGCCCCTGCCCTCCAGCCTGGGCGATGGAGCGAGAATCCGATTCAAAAAAAAAAAAAGACAGAGCCGGGCTCGGTGGCTCAGCCTGTAATCCCAGCATTTTGGGAGTCTGAGGTGAGTGGATGGCCTGAGCCCACGGGTTCGAGACCCGCCTGGGCAACTTGGCGAGGCCTCATCTCTACAATAAATCAAAAAATCAGCCGGCCGTGGTAGTGCGCGCCTGTAATTTCAGCCACTCGAAAGGCTGAGGTGGAAGGATCGCTGGAGTCCAGCAGGCGAGGCTGTGGTGGCCGGGAGCGGCCACTGCACTCCAGTCTGGGCGACAGAGTGAGACTCCAACTCAAAAAAAAAAAAAAAAAAAAAAAGACAAGACTCCTCTTTCCCCCAGGACAGTCTTAGCAGCTGTCTGAGTGTGCTAGGGCCTCCTCACAAAGCAGCACGGATGGGGTGGCTTCAACAGAATCTGGCTTTCCCACAGCTCTGGAGCCCAGAAGGCCAGGATCAAGGGGCCGGAGGCTGGGTCTTCCCGAGGCCGCGAGGGAAGAGCCCGCCCCAGACAACTGGCGTCTCCTCCCTGTCTCTCCCCATGCTCCTTTCTCTGAGCATGTCTCTGTGTCACATTCCCCCTATCTGTAAGGATACCAGTCACACTGGATCAGGGTGCACCCTAAGGACCGCATCACAACCTTTTTTCTGGAGTTGGAGTCTTTATCTTCCAGACTGATTTATTGTGGAGACAAGGTCTCGCCAAGTGGCCCAGGCAGGTCTCGAACCCTTGGGCTCAGGCAGTCCTCTCGCCTCCGTCTCCCAAAGTGCGGGGATGACAGGCGTGAACCACTGTGTCTGGCCAACTCTTCTTACATAGAGATGGGGTCTCACTGTATTGCCCCAGCTGGCCTCAAACTCCTGGCCTCAAGCAATCCTCCCAGCTCAGTCTCCCAAAGCTCTGAGGTGACAGGTGTGAGCCACCACAGCCGGCCTCCCAGCATCCCCCGAACAGGAGTGCCCGTGTGAACCCGGCTCGCCCAGGCCACCTGGGGCCCGATCTGGGTCCAGGCAGCCCCAGGGGCCGGGGCGCTGAGCTCTGCCCCCGTGCTCCTCCGTCCGGGCAGGTCATCTACGCGAACAATCAGCGATACGTGGCGGCCGTCATCTTGAGCGAGAAACAATGCCAAGATCAACTCAAGGACGTGAACCAGAGCTGCCACGGTGAGTGTGGAGGCTGCGGGGAAGGGGCGGACTCCCCGCCCAACGCTCGCGGCCGCGCCTGACCGCCCGGGCCTGGGTCCTGTCGCCCAGCCCTGATGCACATGCTGGAGCAGAAGGCCAAGACGCTGGAGGTGGAGCTGGCCCAGGAGAAGGCGGTGTGCGCCCGCGACAAGGAGGGCCTGCTGGCGGGCCGGCGTGGCGTGGAGGCCCAGCTGGCCGAGTGTGCGCAGGCCCGGGAGCAGCAGCGGCTGGAGCGCCAGCTGGCCGAGGAGCGGCTGCAGAAGGGGCAGGGCCTCTGCCTGCCCCTGGACAAGGACAAGTTCGAGGCCGACCTGCGCGGCGTGTGGAGAGACTCCATTATCCCCCGCACGCTGGACCCCATGATTCCCAGCTACAACCCCTACCATTCCCTGGAGCTGGGCTCCGTCCGGCGGGCCTGCGAACACCTGCCCAGCCTCATGGCCTCCAAGGTGGAGGAGCTGGCGCGCAGCCTCCGGGCGGGGATCGAGCGCGTGGCCCGCGAGAACGCGGACCTCCAGCGCCAGAAGCTGGAGGCCCAGCAGGGCCTGCGCTCGGGCCAGGAGGCCAGGGAGAAGGCGGAGAAGGCGGCCCAGGCCCGGGAGGCCAAGCTGCAGGCCGACTGCGCCCGGCAGACGCAGCTGGCGCTGGAGGAGAAGGCGGTGCTGCGGAAGGAGCGAGACGGCCTCTCCAAGGAGCTGGAGGACAAGAAGCGGCAGGTGGAGCAGCTGAGGCTGCAGCTGGCCATCAGCAACTCGGCTCTGGACACCTGCATCAAGGCCAAGGTGGGCCGCGGCCCGGGGAGCCGCGGGGAGCCCGGCGAGGTGCTAGTGGGCGGCGGGGACGTGGGCGGGAGTCTGGCGTCAGCCGGGAGGCTGGCCTCTGGTCTTGGGCCTTTGGTCTCGGGCGGGAGCGTCAGGACTCCCTGGAGACCTTCGCTGGCATTAGGACGGGGGCAGGGTCTGGACTGGGGGTGGGTGCTGAGCAGGGTGCGGGGTTAGGGCTGGAACGGGAACGGGGGCTGCCGGGTACTGGCTGAGTGAGGGGGACATCCAGGATTGTCGTTGCTCGGGATTGGGTGGAGTTGAGACGTGGAGGGTGAGTTTAGGGTTGAAAGCTGGGCTGGGTGCGGTGGCTCACACCTGTCATCCCAGCACTTTGGGAGGCTGAGGTGGGAGGATCGCCTGTGTCCAGGAGTTCGCGACCAACCTGGGCAACAGAGCAAGACCTCATTTCTACAGAAAAAAAGTTACTCAAGTGTGGTTGGCACCCGTAGTCCCAGCTACTCAGGAGGTCGAGGCTGCAGCGGCCACGAGTGTGCCACTGCACTCCAGCCCGGGCGACAGAGGGAGACCCCGATTCGAAAGAAGAAAAAAGAGTGAAAGAAATGGAGTTGGCCTGTTGGTGGATATTGACGCCTGGGTTGGTTTTAGGAGGCGGGCTCAGTGGCGCCTGCCTGTGGCCCCAGCGCTTCGGGAAGCCGATCGGGACGACTGCTTGAGGCGAGGAGTTTGAAACGAGCCTGGGCCATGTGACGAGGCCTTGTCTTAAAAAAAAAATGAGGCCAGGCTTGGTGTCTCAGCCTGTCATCCCAGCACTTTAGGAGGCCGAGGCGAGTGGACTGCCTGAGCCCGCAGGTTCGAGACCAACCCGGACAACTTGGCGAGACCTCATCTCTACAATAAATCAAAAAACGATCTGGGTGTGGTGGTGTGTACCTGTAGCTCCAGCTACTCAGAAGGTGGAGGCGGAAGGATCGCCGGAGCCCAGCGGGTCGAGGCTGCGGGGGCCGGGAGTGGCCGCTGCACTCCAGCCTGGGCGACAGAGTGAGACTCCAACTCAGAAAAAAGAAGAAATAAAAGACTGGTTACATTTGAATGTAGTTTTCTTTTTCTTCTTTTTGTTTTCTGAGTTGGAGTCTCTGTTGCCCAGGCTGGAGTGCCGTGGCACACTTACGCCACCACCGCTCGACCCGCCGGGCTCAGGCAATCCTTCTGCCTCGGCCTTCCAAGTAGCTGGA